AGCGGCACGCAAAACTTAGACAATGTTAGGCGGCCAGAGCAGCCACAGCAGCGGGAGATGGAGCGGGAGCGGGCGCAGGCGCAGGCGCACGTAGTCCGTATGCACCCACAAGCAAGGGACAGCCGAGGATCGGGGCGCCTGTTAGTGCGCACCTTTTGCGAAATTGAGCTGGCATTTTTATACCCTGCACCCGTTCAAAACGGCTAAAAGGGTTTAAATGTGTCTGGGCCAAGGTATGCAACAGGCAGCAGGAAGCATCTCCGAGCCCATAAAGTATATATGTTCTTGATCTTGATCCGAGTGGATCTTATCTCAAAACCTATAAGAGCCAGAGACTATAGAAATTTGGAATGTAGATCCTCCTAGTTTCCGATAATCGATAACTAGCCCCTTTTTCAGGCAATCGATAAAAATCCAAATCTAGGTTATTGAAGCTAGAGTCACCAAATTTGACATTTAGCTTCTTGAATAGTAGCTAACACCACCTTCCCGCTACCATATCAGAGCTATAAATCAAGTAAATAAATCAAAGAAAGCCACAATTTAAATGCAACTGACTTTTTGAAAATATACAACAATTTTGTAGCACAATAAGATCTTCTATTGAATTTGAATGAAATTTCGTCGAGATCAGTTATGAAACACAAAAGTTATTAAAGAAAGAAACAGCCAAACGTGTTCAGCATTGCAACTGCGATTGTATTGTATTCTAATCTGTGTCTATGTGCTGGTATTTTAATTCGTTTTTTTCTCATTAAGAGTCAATTCTTGATATGGCTGCTGATTGGAGGCGATGGCAAGTGGTTTGGTCTGTTGCAAGTTCGAGTCGCGTTGAAGGAAATATTTTTTTTTGTGTAGTTTATTTTTATTACTGCTTAAGCAAAATGAGCTTGTAAGCTTGTAGCGCGAGCTGGGTATCCCCTAGTCGGGAACTTCCGACTGGAGCCTCTTAATTGTACCCCGAGTTGGCACGCGCGCGCTGTCCTCGCCGTTGATCCTTGCACTGCTTATCCTTAATTTCGTTTACTTTTTGCGCCCGGCTGTTGTCCCGTTGGCCGCATTTTGCTGGACAGGTGCAAACTCTTTTCCTTTTTGTTTTCGGCATGTCTGTCCCTTAGCCGACGTCTCTCTCCCTCACTATCTTCCTCTCCTTCTCTCTCTCTCTATATCTCTGACTCTCTCTCTAGCTGCGCGTGCTGGCATTAATTCGCTTCTTTATTTTTCGGTAATTGCCGAAAATGTTCCGAATGAACGAGCGAATCCACTCGCGGTTTGCGCTGCGTGTGCTCTGATCCTGCGACAGCCGGATTATGGAACGGCCCGTCCCCGCGTCAGAGGACGCAGGACTGACGACAGCGTTGATCCTAAGCGCTTGATTGCGATTTCACATATTCCCATTCCCGTTCACATTTTGGCTGTTCGCATATTTGCGGCCCCGACAGCCGTGCGATCATTGACTTTTGTCAGGCAATGCAATGCCCTGTCCCTGCCCCTGCCCCTGCCCCTACAGCTCCCCTGCAGTATCAGCAAGGATAACGTTACAGCTCAAGGAGGCGAAATTGCAATGACAGAAATGTTTAATATGTGTTTGTGTAAATAAATGAATATGTATGTATGTGTGCAGCTTAGGTACTTACATGTGCGTATTTATATTAAAAATCAAACTTGTTGAGAATTCGTAATGTCTTTAATTGCGTGCACTGTCTGAATACCCCTAACAAATACATGCATACACACAAACACACACACAAACACACACACATGTTTGCAGTTCGTTTTGGCATTAGTATTTATTTGTGTGCTATTCTCGCGCTCTTTGTTGTCGCAATTTCAATAATTTTATTTGCAAAAACGTAAAAATCAACGATTTCCAAGAACAACAATAAGATTAACACGCATTTCACTCATTCATGTGTGTGTGTGTGTGTGTGTGTGTGTGTGTGTGTGTGTGTGTGCGGCGCAGCAGATGCGCAACAAATTTAAACGCTTAAATATAAAAAACCAAAAAACGAAAAAACCAAGCAAAAATGAATTTCATTAAGCTCAGCGCAACAACAAGCCATGGGATTGGTTGTGTAAGAGAGTCCACAAGGGAGCGAGAGTGAGCCAGCGAGAGTGGGAGAGAGCGAAAGCAGGCAATATTTTGCATTTGCTCTCTCACGGCACAATTGGCGCTCTGACATTGGCGCCTACTACTTTTCTGCTACCTTTTGCAAGCACAGCAACAATCGTAGGCAATAGCAGCGGCCATTTTGTGGCAACGAACAGCAGCAATAGCAGCAGCAACAACAAAACGGCAATGTCCAATCGGCAAACGCAACGACGCCATTTACAACAACAACAACAACAACAACAGCAATAAGCCAAAATGCAATTTGCAAGCAGAGCAAAGCAAAGCCAAAAACAAACGCAGAAGCAAAAGCACGTGCACTGCTCGCCTCTCTATCGCTCAGTGCATGTGGCTGTGTGTGTGTGCCTGTTCTTATCGCTAAAGAGAGCGAGCAAGAGAGAGAAATAGTCTGAAGTGTGGGCGTGGGTGCGTGTGTGAGTGCAGCTTAACGGGCCTTGGTTGGTTGGCGCTTAAGCTGGCAATTCTTCATAAGTGCATTTGTGTGTGTGTGTGTGTGTGTGTGTGTGTGTGTGTGTGCAAACTGTATGAATGGATGTACATACATACATGCATAAAAGAGCATATGCTTGTTGTTGTGGGAATGCTCTGATTGTCTAATAAAATCCCATGATGACCGTTAGTTACAACAAGATAGACTTGTTCTTTTTGTTTCGTCAAGCGCCCAATTTTCTATTCGATTTTTTGGCAGCTGTTAAGCCGGCCCAACTTGTACCCAAAACCGTTTTGAAATCTTAACCAGATGCCCGCCAACAAAGACATTTCTGTTGGCTAATTATGAATAACAAAAGCGCCAACCAGCAGCGGTCAGCGGTCAGCATCTCGCCACGGCACAGCTGGCCCAAAAACCCCTTTCAATGCCCATTGTCGAAGATGCCCGAAGATTGCCGACAGCTGCCAGCGCAATGGGAACCAGGACGCCTGCGCCTGGGATGCTGTGCGGCCGGCGCTTCACACCCTGCCCAAGCACTAGTCAACCGACCGGCTGACCAGTTGACCAGTTGACCAGTTGACTAGTTGACCAGCTTGACGAACGCCGGCCTGTCCTATTGGCAGCTGTGGCGTCAGGAAACTAGAAAAGCTTTTTGTTATGAGTCCTTTTGTTAAGCCGGGACAAATAGCCAGCCACCAAAACTCTGTGAGTGCGTGTGTGTGTGTGCGTGAGTTTGTCTATGCATTAGGGTGCTTATATACAATTTCTTTCGCGGACATTGAAATATCAAATAACTATTATTTGATTTTAAGTTTTTCTGTTTTTATTCGCGTTTTAATTCAGCCGCAGCTATAGAAGGTGTCGCCATCTGACGGCTTTTAGTTGCACATATGCCTGTCATGCGATCGGCGAATCCGTTCGTTAAAATAGTTCATGTCATGACTATATAGCGGAAGAGCTTTTCAACGATAGTTACGTTTGGATATGTCTCGCCATCTGGCGGCACATTTACTTGGCATTTGATCACCAAATCCATTCGTTAAAATGGTTCATGTCATGACTATACAGCGCAAGAGCTTTTCAACGGTAGTTACGATTGGCAACGTGTCGACATCTGGCGACTTTTGTTTGCATATTTTCTTACCATTCGAACACCGAGCTCGTTCGTTAAATTGGTACATGTCTTGACTAGGTAGCATAAGAGATTTTTCAAGGATAGCTATGATTGGTAAGGTGTCGACATCTGGTGGCATTTATCAACACTCTTGCCTGGCATTTGATCACTAAATTCTTTCGTTAAAAAGTGCTTGTCATTGCAACTAATGAGCTTTTGAACGAAAATATGGTTGGGTAAATTGATAAGCTTTTTGTAATGCAGCTACGCAAAAACTGCAACTGAAGCTGGATTATTTCAGGCAAATGAAATTTGTAATTTTATATTAACTGATTACTGGAAGAAATTAAGTGATATTGCCTAGGTCAATTTCATGACATTGAAAGTGCATCGCAATTTTCAAGCAAATACATCTTTAATTAATATAGGAGCAAAAATATAAATAATTAAATAAATAAATTAAATGTAGTGACAAAAATTTGATGATCGGCAGGATTAGAAGGCATGGCAAAGATGAAAACCAAATAAATTTAGGCCTAAAGCATTAAAGACTTTTCGAATGATGTTCCCATCTTAACAAACTCCCTTAACACGAAGGGGTTTTTTTCTCTCTGACTGGATGTTAGATCATTTTTCTTTTGGTATGCCATTCTCTTAAATTACTTTGATTCTTACGTTCTGTGCAAATTAAAGAGAAATGTTCCACTTACGTAAGATACTCCATTCCTCGAAAGCGCTGCCATCGTTCTTAACATTACAACGGTAATAAAAGCACTAAGCACTGCACAAGTGCACAAAACAAAAATGAAAAAAAAGCACTTCGTACGATTAGCATTGCGTTATTATTTTTTGCTTACTTTATGAGCTTGTTTTGAATGCATATAATATTAAGGCGAATTTAGCTCTTGCCAAAGGCGTATAAAATTCCTTTTTCGCCGTCATTTTATAATTTATCCGAATTTAAAATGCAGCTGCTGTGACGCGACCTCAGCTAACGGCGAACGGCTTTCAACTGATTTCGCCGTTTCGGCAATGGCGATCGTCTCTCCCAAAATTCGATTTCGAACTTCTCAACTTCTTTCGAACTTCTTTCTCTTCTTGTAATAAGTCGATTGGGACCAATCGTAAAAGTAAATTATCGAAATACATACTTTTAGAGAAATAAATTGTTGGCGATTTAGGAAATGTTCATACTCTATCTGATACTGGTATAAGAGAGTATATATATATACATATATGAAAAAAACAAGACCAATATACACAGAGTATTGGAACTACGCAATCTGAATTCTAAAAAAACATTTCAGCAATAATAAAATGTTTCGTTCATTACATAAACCTGCACTTTTAGGTAATTTATTGTTATGAAATTATTAAGCTAAATATAGCTTACAGGAGCCTTAAGCTAAATTATGCTTACAGGCTAGATCGTTTGTGGTCTGGTCATGTTAATCCTACTAACTTATGGATAAAATGCCGTTAATGCACTTTGACTTACAAGAACTAGTTGTTAAAGAAAATCTTAGCAAGAAAACTCTGTATGTGTGTGTGTGTGTGTACAGCATTTAGACCAGAAGCCAGATGCTGAAATTTACAATTGTCAGTGTAATGTTTTGTTCAGTGTAAATAATCAAAGATTCCCTATAATTTTGTACAAGTTGCTAATAAAGAAATTACATTTTTTGTTGTACATTTTGACCGCCAGACATTGGGTTTTGATTGCTGCTTGTTTTGATGGTGTATATTTGTTTTTTATTTCTTGCAGTGTACGAGCTTAAGATGCCCTGGCGAGGACTTTGTATCAAAATAATATAATATATATATATATAATATTCTATGTATACACAAAGGTTTGTATGTGGTGTTAGCTCATATGATATGATTATTAGCTTTGAAACAAGCCCTTGCCAGGGCGCGCATAAAACCGATCTTAAGAACTAATGGATAAATTATGAAAAAATGAAAAACAAATTTACTAAAAAAATAATAGATTAGTGTAAACGCTTAACGTGTATGTTAGATGTGAGAAATTAGCACAATTTGAATTTTATTGTGTCTTAGAAACAAACGTTGAGGCGACACATTTAAACAATTGCACGCCAAGAATGGCGTCCTTTTTCTTTTTCTTTTTTTTATATATATAATTTTCAAGCTATTGTTTTTGATAGTTGTGTTGAAGTTGTTTGATGTTGTTGCAGCGGGAGCGGGGGTTTCGAGGCACCGATTATTTGACAAAGGCCTCGGGCGGTATTTTATTCTCCTTGAATAGTTTCTCGAACACAAAGGCGGCATGGTTGAAATCCCAATTCGTTTCCTCCAGGCATCTGCAATACAAATATTTATATATTTTGTATAATTTATAAGATATTATATGGATGGTGGGGGGCTGGCTACTCACTTGCGACTCCAGTCCAGATTCATTTGACTCTGTGCACTCATGGCCTGCACCATTTGCATTTTTGTGGCATCATTGGGTGCGGCTGTGCTGCCAGCAGTTGCCGCTGCCGGGCTGGCCATGTTGGCGGTTGGCGGCGACAACAAGGCAACGGCGCCGCCAGCCACGGGCTGACCCTGTTGAAGGCGGTTCTGTACAGAAGTATCGGCAATAGACGAACTGATTGGAGCCAGGCTGACAGCGCCCGGCGCTGGCTGATGCTGCGAACGCTTAAATTCGCGCGTCTGCTCCGCCGTGGCGCTGGTTATGAATATTGTCTCGTTGCGAATGCAAAAGCCAGAGTTCTGTGGCACCACCACAAATGTGCGCACAAAGTGACGCAGCTCGTAGGCCTGCATAGAGCTGGGAGTCGAACTGCTAGTATCGCCGGTCAGCTCTTTGAATAGTCCCGTCACGGTGAACACCATCATCTGGGGCTGCAAACAGTAATAGTTGGGCATGTGTTATGGTGTTGCAATTGCTGTTGCTGCTGCTGCTGCTGCTGCTTACATTATATATTGTCAGATCGACGGTGAAAGTGCGACGCTCGTGCAATGTGCGTGGCCACTCATCCAAGGTCGATACGCAGGCCAGTCGGCCGCTCTTTAGCAGGCGTGTACGCAAATCTTCCCGCTCGGTGCTCACAATGCGTCGCAGATTGCGATTGAATTTCCAGAAGCTATTCAGCCTGCAAGCATTACGATCAAGATTAGTTGAGGTTAGACTGTTGAGACGAGTCTAAACGCATATTTACCTGCCCGCCTGGCTGACCGAGGGCATTGACATTGAGAGCAGGGCATGCTCATGGTATGCATCTAACAGTGGCTGGCGATTATCCGAGTCGAATATGTTGAAGTATTGATCCAAAAACTGGCGAACCACCTCAGCGCCGGCGCTGTCGCACAAAAAGGATGCCTTCGCTGGTGGCAAGACGGCCGATTCGTTCAAATCGAAATGCACCTGTGGCGGCAAGGCTTCCCCATCCTAAATTATTATTATTAGTGAGGCTTTAAGCAGTGTCTGGCTATTTCAAATCTTCAACTTACCAGTTTCAAAATTTTGGGAAACTTGCGACGTACTTCGCTGTAAATAGTTTGCAGTTGGATATGCGTCCGTTTTTTGTTGTGGCATTAGTATTGTGCAGTTGGCATACACGCACGCATACACACACACATATATATATATATATATATATATATATATACATATATATATGTGTGTGCGACACACGCACTCACACACACACTCACACACACACACACATGCATACATATGCACGTATATTTGTCAAATATGTTAAGCTATCGCACACACATATGCATGCATACTTGTGTGGCTGTTGCAGTTGCATCATGTTGCATTGTCATTTCGAATTGCATTTGCTCCTGCCTCGCCAGACTTGCTCAGTATCGATTCTTTGTACTTTTTATACTTATGACATATTGTTTTTTGCAACTATTGAACAAGCAGATGCATCTGGTTTATGCCAGCGACGGCTTTGCGCTTGAGACTGGGGAATTTTTGCAGCGATCGATACATTTTCAGGTGAGCCAAACTTTTAAGCAGCAAATTTTTTTTCTTTTTTTTTTTGTAATTTTTTTTTTGTTTTCTTTTTTAATAGTATTTTTTTTTTTTTTTTTTTTTTTTTTTGTACATTTTTTCTGACACCCAAAAGCGTAGGACAAAAGCTCGCTGCGCTGCATCCGATCTGTTTTGTCAGTTTGTCTTAGATATCGTTTCATGTTTTTGTGTTCATTTGTCGTTGTCGTCTGCGCGTAGCATCCGCAGGCAAAGCACACGCCCACCGCCAATCAATACACAAATGAAAGGCTTGCATTAAACGCAGTCGACAAGCTTTTATCGGAGCCGCCTGCGCCAGCGAGTGTTGTAAAGTCGTGTTATTTTTATATTATTTTTTTCTTTTTTGTTTTTGGGGCGGGAATGTGATGCAGTCTGAACGTCTGGGGGGGGGGGTCAGTGTGTTTGTCTGCTGGGCGCGCGCACTCCACCGTAAAATGAAGCCGACGATATTGACGCTGCCGCTAACCGCAAGTGCAACAACAGCAACACAACAGCGCAGCGCAATTAGAAATTTGCAAATGGCAACAGCTCACAATGGAGTCGGCCGAGCGCGCGTGCGTGTGTTTGCAATGCGTGCGTTTGCGGTGCGCGCGCATGTGTCTGTGCGTTTACGTGGGTTGCTTTGTTTGGATTTATGTTTGATGCGCTTGTCCGTCACATAAGATAACAGGACATCCAAACGCAGCTGCATGCTTGCCTACATACTGGAAATGCAAGTGCGTAGTTAAGTCAGTCAGTCTGTCTGTGTGTGTGTGTGTGTGTGTGCGTATGGAGTCTGTTTGGAGTTACCATATCGTCGAATTGACAGTCAGTGTTGTATTTGCTTTTCAGATGCATTTCGAATTTTGCCTGTTTTTTTTTTTTCATTGGGTTTTCTTTTTTTTTCTTTCATTGTATTTTATTATTTTTATCTTTTTACTATTTTGTTTTTTTTTCTTCTTTTTTTTTTATTTATTTTTTTATTGTTTTTCTATTTACTGTCAAAAGCTTGGTTCCGCCTTAGTTGCTTCTATCATAAAAACGGCAACAATTTTAAATTAGTTTTCCCATGCCAACCAATGCATTTGCTTACTAAAAATGCCTGGAAATTAAAGCAGCGAGGGGTACGGACAATTGCAGTTTCCAAATTACAGTTGCAACAGTATGAACAAAACACAGCTGAACACAGCAAATCACAATAGGAAATAAGGATTAACTAAGAACAAGGCATTTGTCGATGGGATACGAGATCCACAACAGTTTTGACAATCTCTCTAGCCCAGTTCCCACGTTGATGATTCGCTGTCTGCGCTGCCACATCCTCTAGAATGCAGAAGGAACAAGGAAATCACACCATAGTATACCTGACAAAATGCTGAGGATCCTTATAACGTAAACGGCACGGATTATTGCGCAAGACCAGCTCCACAATTGGCAAATTGCGAAAGACCAACAGATGGGCCAACGAAGGCAGCTGTAATCAAAGACCAGAAGACAGACAAATCATATAATTTAAAAACAAACAATTTGAATACTAATAACGCACCTTGTTATCACCCAAATAGAGTATCTTGAGATGAGGCAAACGCTTGTCGGCGCCCTTGAACGATTCCATGGTGGACATGTTGTTATCATTGAGATTGATGGCCTCCAGATCGGGAATATTATCGCAAATGATGTCCAGCGCTGTTGTCATAACGTTAACACGAAACAGCGGGCAAAAGATGGGCTTCAGATCCGGATCGGCATGAAAGCGGGACAGATCGAGCGCCTTGGTTTGTACATTATAACGCTTGGCCATGACGACCTTCATCTTTGCCTTGAACTCCTCATCGATGGTCACCAATGGGACACCGCTGCGCACACGTGGCATCAGCCGAAAGCCATCCGGCAGCTGTGCATGCCGCCCCAACTGCTGTATACGCTCGGCCACCTCAAAGTCATCCGTAAAGAAGACGGCACAATGGCGCTCCGAGCGCCAATACTGCGGTACAAACACATGCGGTGACATTGCCGCCAACAAGGCACGCAACAGCGTCTCCTTTTCATAGATCTGGCCATTGTGTATCTGTATTATCCATTCGTTAGGAGACATGCGAAAGAAACGAAGGAAATGTCGCTCATTAAACACAAATTCAAGTATAATTTAAAAATAATTGATTGTGGACATCTAGAGATTTGCTATAAAGAACTTCTCTATCATCATAGGAACTTTCCAGCAATACATTTCCCACACTTGCAGCTGAAATATGACATAGCCCCGACTCAGTATCGACTTCCTGTAGAATTTTCAACTTCTTGCCGCTTAGCCTATGTTTCATCCGTGATCAATCAGTCAGTCAGTTAGTCCGTCAATCAGTCAGTCAGTCAGTTAGTCCGTCCGTCAGTCAGTCAGTTAGTCCGTCCGTCAGTCAGTCCGTCAGTCAGTCAGTCAGTCCATCAGTCAGTCAGTCAGTCAGTCAGTCCGTCAATCAGTCAGTCAGTCAGTCCGTCCGTCAGTCAGTCAGTTAGTCCGTCCGTCAGTCAGTCAGTCAGTCAGTCCGTCCGTCAATCAGTCATTCAGTCAATCCCTCAGCAAGGGCAAACTCTCTTATTGAGATTATTTTAGCTATTCCAAAATAAATGAGTCAATTGTTCGATAGCTGGAAAACTGAAATGAGCCCATTTAACGAATTGCACTTTTCCAGTTATCGTATCGTTTGTTTTGGTCCCATATTTTTTGGGCTTTATATTTTTGTTGCTATTGTGTTTATTGCATTTCCGTTGCTCATTAAACGCTACACTCCCAATTACTCAATATTTGCATACCAATTCGAAACGATTTTGACTCGGTGACTGGCCTGGGGCCTCTTTGTGTTTTAATTACTTTTGGGTGCGCTTATCTTCAAGTGTCTGTGATTTAATTATGAGCATTCTGATTATGATTATGACGCACAGGCACACACACACATACATCCACCCCCTCAAGCACACACACACACATACACATTAGTTTTTCCTATGTATATCTCTGTTCAGGAACTACGCAAAGCCGATTTCATGTGCCTGTGCGCTTTAGCTTTCTTCCATTGTGGGTATATTAAGATCTGTCCAGAATCTCAATTCGCTTCCTTAGTGCAGAGGATAATTCTTTAACTGAGTTTAACTAAGCTCAAACTAGATCACATACCGTTATTATATACTCTATATACTACGTACGTATTTGTGACACACTCATTCTGGCGATGAATCCGTTGTGCTCATTAGATAAGAAAAAAAAAAAGGTGAGTGCTCCAGTTGGGTGTGCTCGGCTAGTAAATACTCTGTAACATACTCTGCACAACATAGATATAATATATTTTTTCTTTCCCTTGACCTAATCAACTCGTCCCGATCATGTATGTTAATAGATTGGGTCTGGGTCTGGTCAACTGCAATATACCCGTTTACCCATATTGAGTGGGTACAGGGTATACAATAAATAAAAAGAAGATGGGCGTAGCTATGACCACTTACTACTCGGTCCCATTCATTTTCATTTTGCTGCGCATTTATGCGATAAATTTATTTATTATGCAGCATTAGTGTTTGTTTATTATGTTTACCACTGATTATGCCATTCGGACACTGTCGATAGACACTCTAGCCAATCTGCCATTTTGCCTGCCCTCATTTGGGCGAAGCTTAAAATCCTTAAAATTGTTCATTCAGAGAGCTTAGCGTTAAGTTTTGCTAGCCGTTTATATGTAGGTGGGTATATCTGTTATCTGTTAGTTGGGGGGCTGGGGTCTTGAGTTGTTTGATAAGCCTCAAATGAATATGTTAAGGTACTTGAGTACCTACTGAATTAGTCATTGAATTAGGTTGTTATATAGAATTTAATTAAACAATTGTGATCTTTAACAAATATTTGTAAGACATTCTCGCTGTTTACGCTCAAAGAATAGATCAGATATGAGAGTCCGAAACGGTTCTATGAAACATTTGCTAAAAAAAAGAATCATGACTCCTATGGGAAATTAGTTGAGCTGCGACGACTGAGACTGAGAGAGGATGAATGGGTGGGTGGGTGGGTTTAGTCGGTTGATTGGTTGCCTGGTTGGGTGTATTGGCGAGTGAATGAGTGCGTACATGGGCTGGTTAGTATGAATCTATGTGTATATAAATGCCGCTTTTGTGCACAACAATGAGAAATACGAGCGCGCACTGAGACACATGTATTTCCAGAATTGATATGACTGATGACGCCGACGCGTCAACTGCGACGCCGACGCTGATGGGGACTGCGACTGCGACGTAGCGTCGACGGCAACTGGGCTGGCTAACAAGCGCGCACCGGCAAACGCAGCGCCATTCGTTAACAGCCGTGCGAGGTTAAAGCAACAACACGGCAACCCATCCACAATTCACAAAAACAAAAACAAAACAGATACAATATGGGCAGCTGTTGCTCAAAGGATTTGGATGATAAGCGCTCCTGGAGTCCCGAGGAGACCAAAAATGGCGTAAGTCCATGGCAAAGCATTTAAAGCATTTCATGATAAACCAAATACTTGCGAATTCGTACACAGAGCACCACATCGACTATCATAGCACAGCCCATGGATGATGTGGGCAGCACGGGTGTTTTTACGTTAACGCGCACCACAACAACAACGACAACTACAACAACAAAACAACAACAACAACAACAAAAACAGCAACAACAAGAACAACAGCAACACATAACAGCAAATGCAGTTGATGCTGATGCAGATCCTGAGGCTAAGCAGTAGCCACAAGCTCCAACACTCCAAAAGCTCTTAATTCAAATTGACTTCTCTTTTTTTTGTTTTTGTTTTACTATTTTCCATAATTTTTTTTAACTAAGCATATATGTACATACATATATATATACACATATACTATATATAAATTATTATTATTTTTTTTTTTAAACATTTGTGACATGTGTGTTTGCTTGGCAAGAGGCAGAGCCAGTGCGTGCTTGTGTGTGTTTGTGAATATATTTACAATGATTAATACGTTGTTGTCAGCTAAAGAGTACTGTTATTATTATGCTCAAAGAGAGTTAAACCGTGTAATAAATAATTAACTGTTAGCGTGTTTTTCGTATTGTCTAAAAACCTTTTGAAAACAAACGAAATCCAAATCGAAAATGGGCTAGGAATCGAGCCGAAACTTGCCGGCGCGATAAGAGCCGTTACCCTGCTGCCCACCCACCGCCCATCCGCCCATCAAAGCTCAGCTGCACACGCATTCGCACATTGTTAGTCGATGACATCAGGGGGCCTGATGCCGCCTGTTGATGCACAGAGAACAAAATCAAAAGAGAGAATAGAAGAAAGAGAGCGGGAGAGCGCAGAAATAGCCATGCCCATACACACGCACACACGCACACACACACGCGCACGTACACATGCAAGGTAAAACACACCCATGCAGTGGCTTTGGGCTTATTCTGGACGCTTTGTGACTCAGTTTCTTATGAGTTTCTGTGCCAATACTCTCATTGGGATTTTTCGCGCAAATGGTTTTGGCCTAGAGCAAAAAACCAAACACATATACATTTAACAAATATATAAAATGGTGACTAGGCCACCACCTTGCACGTGCGTTCTGTTATAAATGCACTTGCTGTTGCTCTCACTGCACTCATTAACAATAAAAAATAACAATTATAATACTAACAAAAACAATGCCAAATCGAACTCGAAATGCTGTCGTCTTAACGTCAGGTACGTCCTCATAGTTTGCATACTGTAATTCATTCGCATATTTACATATTATATTAATTAACCAATGTTAGATGTAAAACATGTACTGCCAGTTAGTATGCAAATGGTAAACCAGTAATTGGAATTTCTATACATTTATATTTGTATATAATTGAATCAATCTTATGGAACAGAGATTCCTGTTTGTTCAATCAAAAGAACATGTATTATATTGAAAATAATGAAAATAAATAAATACGTTATTGCGAAAAAATGTTTCAAAATGTTTGCAGATGTCCAAAAAAAAAAGATAAAAACGAAACCCAAATTTATCGATTTTTTGTACATAAACAGAATTGAAATAGACTTTATGAATTTATTAAAATTAATATTTGAACTGGTTAAACCGTTAACTTTTTGTACTGCAGCGTTGCCATCTAATTAAAAACCGGCTGGCATGTCATGCATGTCGTAGCGTATCATTAAAACCTCAGCCCGAATGCATGCAACAAATTCGTTTTCAAATTTAAAAACGACAAAATGTGTTGCGTTAAACTTAAAAAAAAAGAAGCAAACTAAAGATAAGATTGTACACAAAATTATTACATATGGGTATTATATATATACATATATATTTGTGAGTACAAGATTAGATGAGAGCAAAGAATTTGCCAACATATCTACGTGTGCATTTATATATGTGTGTATTTCTGTGCGTATTTATTTATGTACATTTGAGCAAATGCAGAATATACAATGTCCACATATAGAACAGAAATTTTGTATTAGTAAATCAAGCAACAAAATAAAAAACGAACAGAAACCAAACCAAACTAAACGACGCAGAAAAGGCAATTAAAGAAAATGCAAAACGAGGGAACGACATGCATACATGTGTATGTATATATGTATATGTATATACATATCGACGTACATGTATGCGCAGTTATATAGATAAAACAATTTGAACATCAACAAGAACGACCCTAAAGTCAAACGAGGAACAAGCCACACACAAAACCGAACCATGGATCGTCGATTGTGAACGGGTTGCGAGGGGCGGGGTTAGCTGGGCAAATGATAGAAAACAGAAATTGGAGCGCACCGCCGCCCCCGCCGATTGTTAGGGTCCCGGGTCCGGCCCGGCCCCGGCCTCGGCCTCGGCGCGATCAGCAGACGGCAGCAAATGTTAAGTTTGTGTGCGGTTGTCAGTGCAAACGCGACCCTCCGACAAGTAGGCAGCCAGACGAATCAGATCAGAAAACGCGCACCAAAGAATCAAATCAAATCAAATCAAATCACAACAAATTAATCATCTGCAGACCAAAAGTGATCATGCAATTTAGCGGATGCCTGGCCATGGTGCTCCTGGCTACCATAGCCTTATCTACGCCTATGCCCATGGCCAATGAGGATGAGCTCGTGGCTCTGGACTCTGTGGAGCAGGTCGAACAGCCGCAGGATATGCGGCATATCTTGAAAATAGCGCCCAAACAGGCGGACACCGAGTTGGTTGAGGATCGAACTGGCGTCTACGATACCATAGTCGAGCAGCTGCGCGCCGCCGGCGTACAAACGTCGGAACAGAAGCCATTGCAAACGCTCAGCTACAAGGAGCTAACTCGTCTGCTGGCTCTTTGGCACATGACGCAGGGCCGCAACTACTACGAAGCCGAAGGAAAACATGCCCGTGGTGCGGAACAGTTCGTAGCAGCAGCTACAACACGGCCCATCGCAAGCTAGGCCACCGATTCATCTATTTTGTATGTTATTTATGACGAACTTTATTACCAAGCTGTATCCTTTGTTCATGTAAAATGCGTTGCACTTATTAAAACAATAAAAAAAAAATTAAATAAATTAATATTGTGCTTCTATGCCAGTGTACGTTGCTTGCCCGCCCCCGCACCCGCCACCGACGCTGGTAATGTGTCCTGCCAATCCGGCGGGGGTGCCGTAGGCTTCTGTTCCTTAATGCTGCTGCTTCTTTGGCTGCAGCTGCTTCTTTGGCTGCAGCTGCTGGTGTTGGTCACGACAACACGCGGCATTTGGCGGCGCTGCAAACGCTTGGCGATAGGCGGCACAAAGAGATCGTGCTTGATCAGTGTGCAGTCCGCATCCTGATAGATGTGACGATTGCTGTCCCAGTTGAAAGCCGCAAACAAGCAGGACAACAGCCAGCCGCCGAAGAAAGCAATGAGAAAACCCAGTGGGGCATACCACATGTAGCTGATGCGGTAAAGGTAGAAATAGGACGACTCCGGTTCAGGGTCCGCAGCAGATGTGAATTGTGCATCCGCTTGCAGCAGTATGTCGCGGGCAAAGCTGCGTTGAACGGGGCAGCCAGCAGTGGACATGTCCAGGCTGGGTATCGGGGGTCTCGGCTGACCGAAGCCTATCCAGAAGGATGCGGCTAGCGATATTAATAGACCGCCAATGGCGCCTTTCTGATTTGCCGACGTCACGTACATGCCGAGCGTGAAGAGGCCCAGCAATGGACCGCCAACGATGCCGAAGATGGACAGCGCCGCCTGCAGCAGCCCGCCAATGGAGCCAGCCAAGAACGCCATGCCCACACAAAGTGCGCCATAGAAGACAGACAAGAGCTTGGAGTACCACATGGTCTGGCGATCGTCGAGCGAGCGTTTCGTGCAGCAAAGCATTAGCGGCTTTAGGTAATCCTCCAGCGTGACTGCAGCCAGCGAGCTGATGGCCGTGCTGATGGTCGACAGGCTGGCACAAAAGATGCCGGATACAAAGAGGCCAGCCAGGCCCTCATAGCCACCCATTGTGTCCACGACAAACAGCGGCATAATCTGATCCCGAGAACTGACACGGCCTGCCAGCAACGGATCACAGTCCCGATAATACCAATAGATGCACAGGCCCGATAGGCAAGTGCTGATGCTAAGCAGGCACAGAATGGGCAAACACCACCAGAGAGCGGCACGTGCTGAGCGCAGATTGCGTACGGCCAGCAGGCGTTGCACCTGCGCCTGGTTCACACCATAGATGGCCAAATAGGTGGCGGAGCCGCCCAGGACCTGCGTAAACCAGGTATGCCGTGTAGTTGGATCAATGCTAAAGTTATTAAATTCGATACGTCCATTCTCCACCGCCGTACGCCACACGACACCGAAACTGCCAGCCTTGATCCATGCACAGATGATGACACTGAAAACGGCAACAAACATCAGGATCGACTGGTATATGTCTGTCATGAGCACCGCCTTCATGCCACCCAATGTGGCATAAATGGTGCAGACCACACCAACAATTATCACCGAGAAGATCTGATTCAGGCCAGTGACTGCCTCCAGCGCCAGTGCCGGGGCATACACCACAATGCCCATGTAGAGAATCATCTGTATCGAAAAGGCCAGCGAGGCGGTCAAGCGGGTGGCATAGCCAAAGCGCAACTCCAGATACTCGTAGACGCTGGCTGTTTTCAGGCGATAAAATACCGGCAGTATCAGATAGGCGGCAATGGGCGTTGATACCACATAGGAGAGATTGATGATGACGAACATGGTGCCATACTGATACATCTCCATGGAAACGCCAAGTATTGTAACAGCCGACATGAAGCTGGCCATTAAACTGAATGCAACTGGCGTAACGCCCATGGAGCGATCGGCCAGAAAATATTCCGTTGTGTTGCTCTGTTTGTTGCCCACGAAGCGATAATAGATCCCGATTACAATGGAAATGATCAGGACCACCGCCAGGATGGCATAGTCCCAGGCTCCAAGAGTGGCCATTATAATAGCTCGTCTTTTTTTTTTTTTTTTGTCGACGGGTTGGCAGCACGGTTACAGGCGAGAGAGTAAGAGAGAGAGAGAGAGATAGAGAGAGCGATGCGCGCGTTTCTGCGTTTCACAACACTGCAGATCGTCACCGTATTAATGGGGCGTGCACAAAGCTGTTAATTTCCTTGCCCTTTAGTGGACAGACAACCAATATTTGCTTGTTGATAAGCGCCGGCGATAATACCCAGCAGTATCAAATACATGTAGCAGTAGCAGCTGCAAGTCCAACTTGCTCTCGAGATTCTGCTGGCGCTGGCGAATACGCGCGCGTCTTTAACGTTTGCCGGCCGTCAATGAAATGACCCAAATACCCAGCCAACGAGTGCACAATAAAACAAAACTACACGGCTTTAGCGGCTAAAAGGAAACCGCGCTGCGCTGCCATTTTTTATAGCTTCATCGGGCCGCCGCTGAGAGATAGCAGCTTAGCTGGCGACAATAATCATTACCAGCACTTGGGACACACGCTGTGCCCGATGCGGTACAGTGGACTCTGGCACCACGATCGGCATGAGGATAATAAACAATGCTGTCAACTAATTTAACTATATAGCAAACGCATATTCTGCAAACATATAATACAATCCATGTATAGGTATGAATGATAACTTTAACATGAATGTTAATATTAAATACCAGCTTGTAAAGCTAGGATCGAGGTTCAATTCCACGCTAGCATATGAACGTTGACAGATCTACTTTAAATGCTAAATATAATGCGAACATGGTCGTTAGAGGTAGTTAAGGGGCTTTTGCTTCAACCTGTCCAAAATTTCTCATAAAAAGCCAAGCAAAACGTAGGAGATGCACTGTCGCCCACATATATATATAGTATGCAATCAATTGCTTGTGTAGACTGTAATTATTATGCTTGTATGGATCTATTCTTATACTGTTTACTTTACGAATTTTACGACTCAGCTGAATTAATAAACTCATGGCGGCCCGAAACTGTTGCCAGCCTGCACTCGATGTAATCATATTAACAGCTTCAATAGCTTGAATAAGTATGTCATGCATTGAAGTTGGCATCTCTGATCCCTACAGGGTATTTTAGTTAAATCACGTGAGCACATTTGTATTTATGCTATCTAGGCTCTCGGAAAAACCTAGCTCCATTGCCAGGTAAAGAAATTTCGACACAGTCACTTTGTTTTATTGCTGCCAATTAAATGATAATACATCATTGAAATGGAAACAGTCCGTTTAAAGCACTATAACTATAGTGTAATACGAGTTCTGTGCCAAGAATAAATGTGATTTTAAGTTTTATTAATATTAATGCCAAAGTCTTGGGGCTTATCGCACAGACTGTTGTATATCTATATAGACGGCAGGAACAGATGACTGTAGTATGTGCTTTCTACATGACGATAAACGTGTGCGCTATGCGATAAGCGAACGAAAGGTAAACTGTGCTAAGCGAATTACAAGTTGACCTTAAGACACTCTGGTTCTCGAGACACCTTTTTGTTTGAGCATAGGTAACATATATAAGAACAATAAACATAATAATGTCCATACATGTTATCCTTAACATCTTGTCTTAAGTGTCAAATCCTTTATGGATAATAATAATGTCGATGATGCTGTTTGTAGGAGACTCAAACAAGCCCAACATACGACTAAATTGTTAGCTATACAGAGACAGAATTTTAACAAATGCAATCAGTTTAGCTCTTGCATTCAAGGAGATTGTAATCTCTTTGAGGTATACCCAATATACGCCTGCAAAAATTATTGTCGCTTGCACGAAATTGGCACATTGCACGATAATTCTTTGACTGAATAACATATATATATAATCTTAAACCATATCAACAGCCAAGTCGAAATATGCATATGCGTTTTATCTAAGCAAACTGGTCTAGCAATTTTTGGCTGTTTTAATGCAAAGAAAAAGATAGAAACCATCAAATTAACAACTTAGGTATATGTAGAACGTGTGTAGTATTATATGGGTATAGGCCTGCAAACGAAGGGATACGGCTTCCTTGTAATTGAAAAACTGTTCTCCTACTAAAGTATGAATTGGTAATATCACTAGGAACATGCGCACATAGTTTCTTTTTTTAAAATGTTGGGATAGTTAGGGTTCACAATATCGCTAAAAAAAATTATGCCGCACTACTCTATATTAATTCCACAAGTAGTATTTTTCAAAAACACTAGGAAACTTTACAGGCTAAAGGTCAGTGTCCGTTTGTAGAGATTTCACTGTATTGGTTTAGTGTACACTATTTGAAATGGCTTATTTAAAGACGGACTTACCGTCACTTGGTACCAGCCAGCTCCATTGGGGACCAGTTTGCCAAATTTGCCGCGTGGAATGGGTGAACCGCGACGTCGAGAACTGGGACGGTCCTGGAAGCAAAAACAAAAGGTTATCAGTCGCATTGAATGAGCAGAAAGACCGGGCTAAACATACCTTTAAGGTTGTTATCATTTCGCTCATGTCATCATCCTCATCCCAACGACGCACATCCTGCAGCCGCAGCTTGACATCGCTTTTGTGCGGGAACTGTGAGGTCTTGAAGCTGACGCGACGCTTGTTGCGATCCTTGCGGCGTTGGTGGTCGTCAGCATCTGCAATTTAGCCAAGGTTGAGTGATTAATTAATGACTGAGCTAATGCCACACAGACAGCCTACCGTCGTAGTCTTTTAGGGCGGAGAAGCGGGATCCTCCACCGCCGCCGCCAGCACTGCCGCTGCCGCTGCCATTGCCAACATTGTTGTTGTTGTAACGTGGCCCGCCGCCGCCGCCGCCGCGCTTAGGCATTGCTCACACGCACACGGAACAGGAGTTAAGGGAATGGCACCAACCGCAGAAATGATAAACAAGGTCTTCTAGGTGCGCGCACACGTTGCAATTGTTGTTGTAATTGTTATATCGTTTATATTCCGACAAAATGGGCAAATGCGCAAAATGCACTGCAACAATAACAAAACTACCACAAATATTGTGTACAATATATTTACAAGATGTCGCAAGCAACTGAGATGCACGACAAAATATTTAAAGAGCGCGAATTTGCAACGCAATTTTACGAAATTCTCAGACTTTATGTATTTGTATTTGTGTAGATGACAGATGTCATGACAATGGCGTGCTGGTGTTGTACAGCACTAACTGGTGCCTAACATACGTTTAGTGCTGTGCAATTCCAATGCAACTTCATTCGATGTGGCAACGCTGTCAGCTAAAAACACAATAGCCAGACTTAAAATTTGCTCATTTGGTTTTGAAAACATTATTGGCGTGGACCGGCTGAATTCTGTTCACATTAAAATGTCGTTACAACGAAAGTGCCCATTCCATGTAACGATAGCCGGAACAGAAGCCAAGTTAGTGCAAAGTCTATGCGATGTACTGCAACTTTGCGCGAATCGGGCTCTCGAAAATAGTGACACCTTCCGGGTCGGGCTCTCAGGTGCGTGTTTTTATATGCACATAAACACATGATATATGGTGTGTGCGGTGTGTGTATGTGTAAGAAGCTCAACTTGAGGTGACCTTGCGCCGCACACTTTCATTCACAAAGTCAGTCATTAAAGGTCATTCATGTATACGATCAACAGGTGGCTCGCTTGTGCAGCTCTTGACCCGTGCCCTAGTATCCAGTAATCTGGACACAAAATGTTGGAAATTCTTTTTCTGCGATGAGCGCTATGTCCCAGACTATCACAACGAATCCACTTTCTGGGCGTACAAAACTCAAATGCTAAGTCAACTACCCAATATTTCGGATAGTCAACTTATTAAGCCTGATACGACAATGTCATTGGATAACTGCGCCAGCGCATATGCGGCATGCATAAGAGACGAATTTGGTACAAGTTGTCCGGAGTTTGATTTGTTGCTTTTGGGCATGGGACCAGATGGACACACGTGCTCCTTGTTTCCAGAGCAACCGATTGCACTGTCGGAAAGCAGACGTATTGTCATTCCGATACGTAATTCGCCGAAGCCACCGCCAGAACGTATCACATTTACGCTGCCACTGATAAATAATGCCAAAGATGTAGTCTTTGTTGTAACAGGTGCCAGTAAAGCTGATGTTGTTAAGGTATGAACAGCAATCGATTTGTAATAAAGTAATCAGCAGTTATATTTATCATTTATTCTTTGACAGCGTGTTTTTGCAGACAAGGACAAAAACTTTCCTTCTGCTTGGGTAGAGCCCACACATGGGGAGTTAACACTGATTGCAGACAAAGACGCAGGAAAGACATTTCTAAATTCATCCTGTCAATGTCCACATAATGCTAATTAACTATGTAAATTTGTAAATAATAAAAAAATGCTGGTTTTGTTTGCACTAACTTTACCAAATATGCTTTTGAATGCGCGCGCAGTGATGATTTTTTGCAGCACTAACAAAGCGTATAGCGTTGCCACTGAATTGCGTTGAGGGTGCTGCCAGACCAGTGCAAAATTCCCATTCAAGTGAAAATGTAAAAAAAAAGAACACAAACATTTACAAACCACCCACAAAACGCAATGCCGCGGCAATAATAACAAAAATATAATTGTAACAGACGCATTAACGAACACCAACGCTGCTGCAATGCCTGACACCTACGGCCAATTCGACGCGGAACGCGTCTGTCGCGTGTGCCTGCGAGAGGTGGGCGAATTTTACTTTATCTACGATGAGGCGCCTGTGGAACAGGGCGCGAACATCGCTCAGATACTTAACGAGTGCACGCGCTACACCTGTGAGCGTTACGACAAGATGCCGCATCATATGTGCGACACCTGCATTAAAGCCGCCTGTCAGGCATATCGTTTCAAGCAGGACGCGGAGAAGGCCTATCGCTCGCTTGTGGCCATACTGGGGCGCACACCCATTACCAAGCCAAACAGCAGTGATGTGTGCACACAGACGGAGCAGGTGCCGATGTTACCGTGCGGCATCTGCAACGATAAATTTCTGAACATTCTTGAACTACGCGTGCATCGCAAACGGCAGCACATGCATATGGAGGAACTTAAGTGCAAGCTGTGCGACGAACAATTCCAGCAGCTGCGCCAGCTGCGGAACCATCTTGTCATGCAGCATGATCAACACTCGGCATCACCGTTGCTGCGTCGGCGTCTGGAATGTCGAGTCTGTCAACGCGTCTTCTCGCGACGTGACCATATGCTTCGGCATATGCGCTCTGTGCACAATGCGGATGGCCGGGATCGGCTGGACCGGACGTTGGCCGAGAAGCAGGTGGCCTGGCGGGCCATCGATGAGGCGACCATGCATAGCGGTGATGAACTGGAGTCGGCTGCCGTTTTATTTAATGATCCTGATGATAATGAGAACGACAACAACGAGAGTGGCTATCAATGCCATACTAATCCCATATCAAGCAACGAGGAAGGTGAAGACGAAGACGTACATGCCGAGGCTAAACAGTCGCTCTGGCTGCACATTAAACCAGAGCCGGAGCCGGAACTTGAAAACTGCCCGGAGGCAATAGGGTCGCAAGTAAATCGCGACAAGCGCAGAAAAAGAGCAATTCTAAAAGTTGCAGCTCACACGGACACAGAGGATGAGAATGAGTGCGTAGACAAACAGAAAACTGCGGCTAGTGCATTGGCGGCTGAGGTAAAAGGTAAGTCAGTGTTCACGAACCGTAAGGACATAAAGATCTCTAATTTCCGACTTCCTTATACAGAGGAGCCACTGGTCACCGGCGGTGAGCAGCAGTTGTCCATTAAGCAGGAGCGGCAACGCGTTGACAGCATCAAAGAGGACGAGGAATACGATATGGAGGCTGCAACAGCTGACATTTTGCACAGTGCCGATGAGGACGAAGATGGGGAAGAGTTCGGAAATGCAGAAAGTGACATTGATGAAGACGACGACGACGAAGATGGAGACGAACCGGATGACGAGCTGGAGACACAGTCCGTGCATAAATCAAAGCTTGCCCAGGTAGCCCAAGTGGAAATTGTACGCGAGTATCTGCAGAAACCGGCAACTGGCAAGCAGCGACGTCGTCGACGCAAAAAACAAACTGAAGCGGAACCGAACCCAGAGAATCGCTGCGATATCTGCCTGCGTACCTTTTCCCGTCATTGCCATTTGCTGCGCCACAAGTTGTCGCATTTGGAAAAGAAGCCGCACAGCTGCCCGCATTGCCCCAAGGCATTTGCGCGCAGCGATCATTTAAAGGCGCACGTGCAGAGCCTGCACGGCAATAAGGAGCACAAATGCGTGCTATGCGATGCGGCGTTCGCCCGCCTCGATGCCCTCGAGCGGCACAAGATGAGCAAGCACAATGGCGAGGGCCTGGACGCCAGCAGCGAGCTTAAGCTGCAAATGAACGAGCATACGTGCGAATACTGTGCCAAGCGATTCTCCAGCAAAACATATCTGCGCAAGCACACACTGCTCCATACTGAATTCCTCTATGCATGCAAGAGTTGCGACGAGACATTCAAGGAGCGCCAACAGTTACGTAGCCACGAGAAGACGCACACCGGCCAGCGTAATTTTCTTTGTTGCATTTGCGGCGACAGTTTTGCTCGCAACGACTATCTGCGCGTCCATATGCGACGACACAATGGCGAGAAGCCATACAAGTGCCGTTATTGCGTCAAGGCGTTTCCACGCGCTACAGATCTTAAGGTACATGAACGGTGAGTGACCCAACAGCGTGACCTGATCCAAAATGCAGCCCATTTTTTTAATTTTGTAATTTACATGCCATATTTGCAGCTATCACACGGGCACAAAACCCAACCTGTGCAATACGTGCGGCAAGAGCTTCCATCGCGCCTACAATCTGACCATACATATGCGCACCCATACAGGCGAGCGTCCCTACAAGTGCGATCAGTGTCACAAGAGTTTCAGCCAGAGCAATGACTTGAAAGCGCATATACGACGGCACACTGGAGAGCGCTATAAGTGTCCGCACTGTGATACTTACTTCCTGCAGCTATACCATATGCGCAACCATTGCCTCAGTGCCCACAACCAGCATATTGAGACCAAAACTGGTCGGCTGCAACGCACCGGCCTGCTGGACGAGCCCAATCACTCCCACTTGACCACTGTGGTTATGCCCCCTGCACGTTTTCAGCAAACAACGACACCAGATACGCATGCTATGGCCACCGTGACCACGCAATTGCCACAGCCGCCGTCGACTGTGGCTGCGACAATTTCCACGCCCATTCTGCATTCGCCGGTCACCTACAATACATCGTCACCAGTATCGGTATCCGTTCCAGTGCCGGATGCAGCCGGATTTGTGGGTACAGCGGCTAACGCAACAGCTACTGCAACGGCGCCCTTTGGTGCATTCAATATAGCGCCCGTTGTAATGGGTAGGTTTCTTTAAATACATCCCCCAAGCAAACGCACCAACTAATGCCATCTCTTTCTATCTATCCTGTTTTCTCAGCGCATCTCATGTACAACCATGGGGGAAGTAGCCAGCAGAGCAATGCCAGCGGCAGCGAGGCGGGAAAATAACCGAAGTTCCCCTATGAAATTCGCATGCCGATTATTCAGTTGCTATTCCAAACTTATCTTAAGTTGATCTTGTATATATGTACAATATAAAATCGCGCCTTAACAATGTGTATGTATATGGTAAAAATCGCTTAACAGCAACTTTTATTGTATTGCAAAATATATATATATGTAGACTAAGCGATTTTACTGTATCTAAGCATTGAGCAAACTAGTTTCTACCAGTGAGATCGTTATAAAGTTCTGTGAGCCAGCAATACTAATTTATTAATTATAATATAAAATATGCGTTTAGGTATATCAAATGTTCAAAGATTTGTTAACCTTAAATTGCAAACCCTTTGTTTTATAAATGAAATTTGTATAACTTTAGATATCGAATACCTATATCATATTATGATGTCACCTACCGTGTAAATAAATTCCAACATATTCAAAAAGCGAATGAAGCGAAGAATAAAAAAAATGTAGTTTTAATCGAGAAGCGTGAGAAAAATTTTATTAATTTGATGTTTAACAAGCTTTTATAACTAATTGCGTACATCGATTTACTGGCATAATTTCTTATTATTAACTTAAGAGGCCTATGCAATATTGCCCTAGCTTAGACATCACAGCATCCATATGCTAGCCCGCGATTGGCACCCGATTTCCTGTTGTCCAGTTAACCCCAAACTATATTCTATGGATGGGCTGTGATATGCAAATCAGGTTTGGGGTGGTTTGTGGTTCCTGCTAGTAAACAAGTGTGGTTGTTTTTTCGACATTAATTATATTAATATTCTTGATCAGAAAGGCAAGTCGATATAATCTAGTCTGTTTCATTATGTTAAATTGTAAACAAAAATATATGAATTTGATTTTAGCACTGTCCTCCACTCATTTAACGAGATTCTTAGATTATTTACTCATCTAGCATTGGAATTATTATTGATTTCTTTATCTTATAATCATTGAAGATATTGATGGATCGCGATATTATAATGCTGTCAACGTTGGTATAAGCAAGTTTCACAATTATCTAAAATATATATGTGTGGCTCATGCAAGAAGTTTGTTTAAATACACAGACAATGTATAACTAATATAAATCTCAAAGCACAGCAACATTTAAACATTAATAAAAGAATTAAAAATAGGCATATTAATTAGTTTCAAGTAAAAATAAGTACATTTGTTGGCTAATCTCATTTCTTAAGCTTATGTTGCCACATTCTGCTGCGTCGTGGCTCGGGTAGTTCTATCTGATGCACATGATCATCGTTCAACTGCCTCTGTGCATACTGTTTGTCTTTACTGCGGAGACGATTGCTGGCCGAGGTGATTTGACGACAGGAGGCCAACGTGCGCGGCAGCTCGGATGATCGCACTGGTGGCTCAAACTTATTATAGTTGCCGATGTCCTCATGCTCCTGCTCATCGCTGGAAGACGGCTGCATGTGCCGTCCTGGCGATGCCATCTTACTGCGCCGCTTTTTGCTGGACTGACCAATACTGCGTCGGCCCAAGCCGGAGCTGCGACGCAAAGTATTCTCCAGCACACGCACCTTCTTTAGCGGCGACTTTAATGGCTTCTGTTGGGCAATCGCTAGTCGTTGCATCGGCTTTCGCAGCGCCGGTGATGCTTTCAAAGAGTTCAACGTTTTCATTAGGCTCCTCTTTGCATTTGGGGTCTCTTCCCTACCGCTACTATCGGTATTTGGTAACTTCCGCTTGTGCAAATTGCCGGTGGTTTTGGCCGCCGAACCTGTCATGGAAGATAACTGCAAATTAGAAGGAGTCTTGCGTAAGGACATCGTTGATGCAGACAATGCCGACATGTTTCTTAGCGCCAAGGGCGTGCGTGGAGCCGTCGACCCGGGTGCAGCCGGTGGCAACATCTTGCCGTGGGTTGATGAGGCTGTCCCTCCCTGTTTGCGAGCAGAACTCTGCAGCTCCTTGGTCTGGCGAAGGCGCACCCAATCGTTGGCCATATGCTCCAATATGTTCTCCCCATGGACCAGAAACGGAGATTTATGGCGCATCTCATAGGCTTGCACCAATTCGGTAATTTGCTGCTCTATCTTTGGCAGCTTAGTGCCTATAGCCTTGCGCTCGCGTTCCTCCTTTAGAAGCTGTCCACCGCGATTGTTGAAGCGATTGGGCTCGTTGGCCTTGGCTTCTAGCGCCTCCATACGTGCCCAGAACTCGGCGCGACTAGCAAACAGCTCAAATATCTCCTTGTTGCTGTTATAAAAACTCTTCAGATCATCCAGTTCCAGCTCATGCAGCTCCAGTAAATCCTCGTTGTACCACTCATTGTAAAAGTTGGAAAAGCGTTTGCGCTCCTGCTGTGATTTCAGTGTCAAATCCCACCACTTTTGAATCTCCACTCGTAGCTGCTCGATGAAGGTCTTCAGGTTCTGACGACGCAGCTCCTGGCAGCGCTGCAGTTCCTCTTTGAGCACATCATAGGTCGCTTGTGTATACTCTTCGGCCTCGCGTACTCTGCGCATGGCAAACTCGTCCGATTCCTGCAGACGCTCCCAAAGCACGTGGATCTTCTCGCGCATATCGTCGATCCGTTCGCGCAGTTCTAGCACCTGCGCGGCAAACTCTTTCTGCATGAAACGCAGCTTTTCGAAGATATTTGGAGTCAGGCTCTGGTTTGCCTGGCTGAGCAAATGTTCTTCGGCGGCTGTGTCCGGCCGTATACCGAGCAGCCTCATGTCCTGCTTGATTTGGCTGCGCAGCTGGAACAGCTCTTCCATGCGGCGCGTGCGCTCTGCTCGCAGATGCTCGAGGTGTTTACAGAAGGATGACATTTCTTCCGGTTTTGGCAGTGGATCGGCCAGCAACGGTAGCGGCAACTCACCCAGTTCTTCGCACAGCTGATCCTGCTGTAGAAGCAGCTCACATATCTCCGCGCGACGTATGCGCAGCTCCTCCCGCAAATGCTCAATACTCTTGTCCAGCTTTTGCAGCCAGACATCCAGCGGCATGTCCTCTGGTTTCTCGCCAATATCCAGATTCCTGTGCAGCAGGCGCCTCAAATCTGCGGCCTCTGCTTGCAGTCCACTGATGTCATCCTTAATTAGCTGCTCCTTTTCATTTGATTCCGTCAGCAGGTCGCTGTAGAAATTTTTCACGCGGTCGTTTAGTTTGCTCTTAAGGGTAACACAGTATTCCTCATCAAACATATATGACCACTTGCTAAATAAACGATCGACATGATCGCTGGTTATAGCCAAGATCGTTGATTTTGTTGATGGCTGTTCGGCCATGTTTACGTATTTAAAAATTTAATTTCTTTCACAATTACGAAATACAGCCTAAAAGGGACGCCAACATCAATTGAATATTTCGGTAAATTTAAAACATAACTAAACGTTGCCACCTTTTAAAAATACATCATGTTAAGTCAGGCGCAGCATTCTAGAGTTTGAGAAGCTGGCAGCGCCATCAAGTTAGAAAATGATTTTTAAATTCATTATCCTTTTCTTAATTTATTTTTCATTTTAAAAAGCTTCTTATAATGTCATTTGTAAATACCAACTGCTCAGATTTATATTAATTTGTCAATTATGTTATGTTATGCAGGCAAACTAAGGCTCTACGCAATATGTTTTCTGCAGCCCTCGGACTGTACCTTTTTATTTTACAGCCGTGAACGGTCGCTAGATGTCGCTGCTGAAACTTTCCACGTTAATTCATTTAACCGATAGTATTTTAAAAAGGTGGCAACATTTATTTGTGTTTTAAATTTACCGAAACATTCAATTGATGTTGGCGTCTCATTTTCACTGAATTTGTAATTTTCATAACAATTAATGACTTATAAAAATGACTGAGCAAAAACAAAAATCAGATATTCTGGCTGTTACCAGCGATCATGTCGATCGTTTATTCAGCAAGTGGTCGTATATGTTTGATGAGGAATATTGTCTGATTCTTAAGAGCAAATTAGGAGACCGCGTTACAAATTTCTACAGCGACCTGCTGACAGAATCAAATGAGAAGGAACAGCTAATCAAGGATGAAATCAGTGGACTGCAAGCAGAGGCCGCAGATTTGAGGCGCCTGCTGCACAGGAATCTGGATATTGGCGAGAAACCAGAGGACATGCCGCTGGATGTCTGGCTGCAAAAGCTGGACAAGAGTATTGAGCATTTGCGGGAGGAGCTGCGCATACGTCGCGCGGAGATATGTGAGCTGCTTCTACAGCAGGATCAGCTGTGCGAAGAACTGGGTGAGTTGCCGCTACCGTTGCTGGCCGATCCACTGCCAAAACCGGAAGAAATGTCATCCTTCTGTAAACACCTCGAGCATCTGCGAGCAGAGCGCACGCGCCGCATGGAAGAGCTGTTCCAGCTGCGCAGCCAAATCAAGCAGGACATGAGGCTGCTCGGTATACGGCCGGACACAGCCGCCGAAGAACATTTGCTCAGCCAGGCAAACCAGAGCCTGACTCCAAATATCTTCGAAAAGCTGCGTTTCATGCAGAAAGAGTTTGCCGCGCAGGTGCTAGAACTGCGCGAACGGATCGACGATATGCGCGAGAAGATCCACGTGCTTTGGGAGCGTCTGCAGGAATCGGACGAGTTTGCCATGCGCAGAGTACGCGAGGCCGAAGAGTATACACAAGCGACCTATGATGTGCTCAAAGAGGAACTGCAGCGCTGCCAGGAGCTGCGTCGTCAGAACCTGAAGACCTTCATCGAGCAGCTACGAGTGGAGATTCAAAAGTGGTGGGATTTGACACTGAAATCACAGCAGGAGCGCAAACGCTTTTCCAACTTTTACAATGAGTGGTACAACGAGGATTTACTGGAGCTGCATGAGCTGGAACTGGATGATCTGAAGAGTTTTTATAACAGCAACAAGGAGATATTTGAGCTGTTTGCTAGTCGCGCCGAGTTCTGGGCACGTATGGAGGCGCTAGAAGCCAAGGCCAACGAGCCCAATCGCTTCAACAATCGCGGTGGACAGCTTCTAAAGGAGGAACGCGAGCGCAAGGCTATAGGCACTAAGCTGCCAAAGATAGAGCAGCAAATTACCGAATTGGTGCAAGCCTATGAGATGCGCCATAAATCTCCGTTTCTGGTCCATGGGGAGAACATATTGGAGCATATGGCCAACGATTGGGTGCGCCTTCGCCAGACCAAGGAGCTGCAGAGTTCTGCTCGCAAACAGGGAGGGACAGCCTCATCAACCCACGGCAAGATGTTGCCACCGGCTGCACCCGGGTCGATGGCTCCACGCACGCCTTTGTCGCTAAGGAACACATCAGCATTGTCTGCCTCAACGATGTCATTGCGCAAGACTCCGTCCAATATAAAGATGTCTTCTATGACAGGCTCGGCGGCGAAGACCACCGGCAATTTGCACAAGAGAAAGTTGCCCCTTTCTGGTAATGGCGGTAAGGTGTTGACACCAAACGCCAAGCGGAATCTGATGAAGACGTTGAGCAGCTTGAAAGCATCACCGGCATTGCGAATGCCCGTTCCACGTCCTGTGGCTGTTACACAGAAGACACTGAAGACGCATATCAGGAAGGTGCGTGTGCTGGAAAACACGCTTCGACGCAGCTCGGGCTTGGGAAGACGCAGCATGGGCCACACGGCCAAAAGGGAGCGCACTAAGCTGCCACCGCCGGATATTTACGTAGAGCCGCCGTCCAGTGACGATAACGATGAGAATTTGGTCGTTGAGATCGCCCAGGATGATACGTACAATACATTTGAGAAATCCATTGAGCCCGCAGCACGCTCCTCCATTCTGCCAAAGGAGGTGGGCTCGTTCTATCATAGTCTGAAGCTGCGAAAGCGTTTGTAGATTTAATCAACAGATGGGGCCTTACTTAACAAAAAATTAAGAGTATTATTAAGAGTATTATTTTTGTCAACTGTGTTGTAAATCGATTTTGCTTTAAATATATATAAATGCTATTTTTAAATTTATTAAATATTGTTGAGACTTAATGGAGCGTCAGATTAACATAAACGCTGTATGGTGCAATGGCTGCCAATTACAAATCTAAATTTCATTACAGAAAAAAAGCCAATTAGAATTTTAAAATAGTTGCCACCTTTTTCGGTTTTAATGCCACACTTCGATAGTGCGCTAAAACTATCGAACTGTAATCGAAACGAAATCGATATTTGCCTTGTCCCAGCACCTTTCCTTGACTTTTACGCGCTATTTTCTTGCTGAGAGACGCATTTGCATTTGTTGGTCGTTTAATTTGTATAAAAACTTATATTGTGATTGCAAACATGAATGTTCCCTTTGAGCCCCGTACTCTTGTTAATGGCGGCATGCTGAAACAGTTTGCCGGCCAAACCGTCAGCATCATGGTGCGCGTGGAGAGCGTTGCCGGGACGACGCTAATGGGCCTCAGCACGGATAACCAGAAGCTGCGCATTAGCCTACCCAGCGAGCTAGGCGCTGCCCAGGGCGCCTGGGTGGAGGTTATAGGCATTCCAAATGCTGGCGACGCCATACGCGCCAAAGAGGCAAGTGAAGCTGATGTCTGACGAAATTCTCGCTATAATCTCAATTGATTCGCAGGTTATTGAATTTGGCGGCGACAACATTGACTTTGACACGGATAGCTACAACGCGATGACCCAGTTGCTGAACAATGTGAAGCAGTTCTATCGCCATGGCTAAGTAAAGGTTCCGTCATGCTGTAGGCCCTAAGCCCTCAACCTCCAATTAGGTTTAAGTCCATTCTTTATCAGGTTTTATTTATTTTTTTCTTTTTTTCAAATAAACACGATATTATTTTCCAAATAGTTCAACATTATGTACTTGCTTTATTGGGATCTGTGGCCCACATATAAAAAAGGCTATCTAGTGAAGTGATTTTCAACAATTAAAGAGAACGAGACAAATTCATTCGTTGGCTATTGCAGCACAGCTGCATTGGCTACCACGCTGGGATTGTTAACCACCTCGCCCAGGGAGTCGAGCACCTCCTTGCGATAATCGTCAAACTCGCCATCAATCTCGTTAATTGTCTGGTCCTCGATGACATAAAGTGTACAGCCTGTTTCGCGTATGAGACGTTCGTCGTGAGAGACTATGATGACGCCGCCCTCATACTCATTGATGGCCTCGGCCAGGGCATCGATCGATTCAATGTCCAGATTATTGGTCGGCTCATCGAGAATGAGAACATCGGGCGCACTAAGGCACAGTTCGGCTAGAGCAACGCGCGCCTTCTGACCGCCAGATAGATCCTTCATTTTGATGGTGTGCGCATGGCTGACGAGGCCAAAGGAGCCCAGCGCCTTGCGGGCCTTCTCGTGAGGTAAATTAAATAGACGCTGCAGATATTCAGCAGCCGATTCTTCTGCAGTCAAATGCTCGCCCGAATGCTGATCGAAGCGCCCCACGTGCAGGCGATGATTCTTGCGCTGCTCGCCCTCTTGCGGCTCCAGTTCACCGAGCAGCAGCTTGAGAAACGTGGATTTGCCCACGCCATTGGGCCCCACAATAGCAACGCGACTGGTCAGGTCTATGCCAAAATCAGCTTTAACAAACAAAGGCTTGTGGCCCTCGAAAGCAAACGTCACATTATGCACGCCCAGAATGGGCGGCTGGAGCTGCGATGGTTCCGGGAAACGGAACTTGACAATATACTCCTTGGGTCGGGCCAGTAGTTCCTGAGGACCATCGTCCTCTTCCTGTTTTTGAGTCTTGGTCTTGTTCTTTTCCTGTTTGCGTGTCAGCGATTCTTTTTGTTTCTTCTCAGCCGCCTTCTTGGACTGGCCATGGGCCTTCAGCTCGCGCAGTCGTTTCTCTTGCTTCTCATACTCCTTGATCATCTCGCGTCGCTTCTGCACGTACATCTTTTTAAACATGGAGTAGTTTCCCTTGTAGTAGAACAGTTTCTTCTGGTCCAGATGTATTATCTCGTTGCATACATTATCCAAGAAACTCTGGTCGTGGGATACTATCAACAACGTCTTCTTCCACCCCTGCAAATAATTATCCAGCCAAATGACCGCATTCAAATCCAAATGATTGGTCGGTTCGTCCAACATCAACAAAGTTGGCTCCAAATAGAGGGCGCGTGCGAGTGAGACACGCATTCTCCAGCCACCAGAGAATTTATTTGTGGGACGATCCTGCATCTCCTTGCTGAAGCCCAAACCGGCCAGAATACGACGCGCTCTTGCCTCGGCCGAATAGGCACCAATGGCTTTCAGCTCGGCAAATGTATCGTTCAGCTCCTCTTGAACGCTCATATCGCCATCGGCGAATTGTTTCTCCAGCTCTTCGCTCTTCTTTAGCATCTTGGTACGCTTCACATCTGCTTCCAGGATTGTCTCAATGGCCGTCTTGTCAGTGGCAACCACCTCCTGTTCGCACAGCAGCACATCAATATTGGGCGGTATTGCGAACGCGCGTGTAGCTATGTGCCTGAGCAGCGTTGTCTTGCCGTGACCGTTGGGACCCACCAGGCCATAGCGACGTCCATGAGCAATCAGCAAATTGGCATTCACAAATAGATCATTGCCTGGCAAGAGGGTGAAAATATGATTCATTTTGCATAATTGCATAAACTTGTGAAATTAAAATGCACTCACCTTTGGCCGATATCGTGAAATTCTCAATTTTGATATCCACGGCATGCTCGAGAGCTGCCTGTTGGCCAGCGCTCTTCTGCACCTGCGACATGGTGAAATTATTGTCTAGATCCGAGTGACCGGTGCCGCCCTTTTTCGTCATTAGCTCCATTTGCCTTTCATATTCTTGTTGTTTCTTTTGCTTCTTTTTCTCCTTATGCGTGATTTTCTTTTCCTTACTGTCTTTGGATTCAACAATTGCTTCCGTTGACTCTTCCGACTTGGGCGTGGTCGCTGGCTCCTCTGACTCCCGTTCGGGTTCAGCTTCTTTTAGCGTGATGGCAGCAATCTTTTCAGTTAGCTTCTCTTCTTTCTTAGGTTCAGGTTTTGGCTCCGTCTCGAGTAGCTGCACATCCTCAACTTCCTCCTCGTCGTCATTGTCGCTCATTTCGAATTTGTTCTTTTGCTCTTGCTGCTTCTTCTTGGATTTCTTTCCTGCTGGCTTGGTCGTCTCAAGTTCTGGCCCATCCTCTTCCTGATCTTCTACATCCTTGTCGTCATCCAGATCGTCATCATCATCATCATCGTCACTCATCGCAAATTTATTCTTAAGCTGCTGCTTCTTTTTAGATTTCTTGGCCGCCGGCTTGGCTATAGCTACCGCCACCTCTTCCTCCTCCTCATCTTCTATCTCATTATCACCATTTCTATTATCCTTATCATCGTCATCATCATCATCATCGCTGAAACCATCATTCGCTTTCTTTTTGTTGCCCTTTTTACTTTTCTTGGTCTGTTGCTGTTGTTTTTTGGGAGCTGGCTTAGCGACGGGCGCCGTTTCTTCATCGGAGCCATCGCTGTCTGCTTTTGCCAGGGGCTTCGCAGGCTGCTCATCCTCACTCCAATCGTCGTTGCGTTTCCCCTTCTTCCCCTTTTTGCCAGCCTTCTTCTGCTGCTGCTGCTGTTTACTTTGCGAGGACTTAACGCTTTCCAGATCATCTGCGTCAATATTGGACAACTTGCTGGCAGTTAGGGATTCGTTATCGCTGGAATCGCCGCCGCCACCTCCAGCACGTTTTCCCTTTTTGCCCTTCTTTGACGCATTTTTCTTTTCATTTGCACTCACTTTCTCTAGCTGTTCCTCTTCCTCATCGAAGCGTTCCTTCTTCTTGCCTTTGGCCTTGGACATATCTGTGTAGGGTGTAGGTGACAGGTGACCTGCTGTATAATGGACCAAAATTATCTAAAATTCGTAAGCACTATGATCAGCAAACTTGAATAGTTTACGTTTGCGTTGTCGGTGCTGCTGCTGCGGCGGCGGCTTTCACGTGCACAGCTGGCAAATGTGCCAAGTGTGGAGCTAGAGAAAGAGGAAGAATCACACACGATGATTGGGCGTGTGTGTGTTCGTGTTCATTGGAATTATTATCGAAATCGTGATGTCATCGTTTTGAGCTGGTTCACAGGTGAAACGGACCTGACCCTATGACGTGATTGTTAAATTTAGTGGAAATGGTTTCTCAACTATGTATAGTATACATACATATATTTGTGAATTTTTTTCTAAAATATTGTCGTATATTTCATGAAATAATTGTAGCTTGCTATAGTCAGACGGAACTATTTGAACTGTCCTGTCGTGGAATCCGATAGGAGTGTGCGCATATCGATATATCGATATGTATATATTTTGCCCCAAATGTCGCCGAGCTACATAATTGTTTAATAAACAATTAATCACTAATATAAACAAAATAGTGCGTGCGATATTCTATGTAATTGTACGTACCTTCAATTGATTCGCTTGCAACTAGTCTGCGCTGCACGGTAAGACCAGCAATAACAAAAACAACAACGAAAACAATAACAACAACAAAAACAACGCAGCTAGAGCCACAACGCAAAGGAGATTGAGATTCGCAACGCAATCAAAAAAATTCCATAAAACGGAAAATAACATACGCTGCCAGAGAGTGAGTGGGCAGAGGGAGGGGGCCGCGCGCATAGCCCAAAGGTGGTTAACAGCAGCAGCAGCAGCAGCAAGAGAAGCAACAAAAACAACAACAACAACAACACGACAAGCGAGACCTTGAAAACTTTAAAGAAATAGCAACAAAAAAAAAACTCAAAATTATTAACGAAATACGCAAACAGAGCCGAGCGCAGAGAGGCAACGGCATCAGAATCGGCCGCTAAGTTATGGAGAGTGACAATTTTCCTCAGCGCGCCAATTAAAAATAATAATAGGAAGAAACTAACAATACAGATAGACTAAAACACCAAATGCATGGAAAAAAGCGTATTGGGAAGCCGTTTAACACGTAAACGTAAGAATCAAAATCAAAACAAGCTAACGATTTACATCCATAACAAAAGCAGCGCCTACACTCACACACACGCAGACACACACACACCCAACACAAACACAAACACAATGGCAGCAGTAGTTGCAGCCACGGCAAACGGCGGCGGCGGCAGCGGCAGCGGCTGCGTCGCAGTTATGACAGTATCCGTCGCCGATAGTGAGACAAGCGACGCCAGCGGCGCTTCAAATGGACGGGAGGCGCGCAATCTGGCCGAGAAGCAGCGGCGGGACAAACTCAATGCCAGCATACAGGAGCTGGCCACAATGGTGCCGCATGCGGCCGAATCAACGCGGCGTCTGGATAAGACCGCGGTGCTGCGCTTTGCCACACACGGCCTCAGGCTACAGTACGTATTTGGCAAGTCGGCGATACGACGTCGACGCAGGCTGAATGTGAAGGGCGCGGGCAGAGGTGGAGATTCTAGCGGAAGTGGAGGCAATGGTAACGGTGTCATCGCCGGCGATACGCCGCAATTAACAGATACGTTGATGCAGTTGCTCGACAGCTTTTTTCTCACCCTCACCTGCAATGGGCAGATAGTGCTTGTGTCTGGGAGCGTGGAACAGCTGCTGGGCCACTGCCAGTCGGATTTATATGGACAGAATCTGCTGCAGATAACGCATCCCGATGATCAGGCGCTGTTGCGTCAACAGCTAATACCACGTGACATCGAGACTCTCTTTTATCAGCAACGACGTAAACAGCACTCGCAGTCGCACTCACAGTCGCAGTCAACGTCGGCCAGCGATGATGATGACA